GTGATCGGCCACTTTGACTTCGCGAGCATCCCTTGTTAGAATTGCTAGCTTGTTAGTCCAAATTATCGATTTGCCATGCTTTCTTATCATATCGTCATGATGGTTTTGGGCAGTCACAAAGTCTTGCTTCAACGCTTTTAGCTGTGGAATGCTGCCCCTAATTCGAATTAAACTTTAGCCTCTTGTGTCGTTTGTTGAAATTTCACATGCCAGAGTCTTATTGAGTTGAATCATCGTGACTCGCTCGATATACCTTTTAGTAAATCTTGAGTATAAAATCAGTTGCTTTTTTCGTCGGATTTTCTTTCTCTTTATCTAGCCTTTTCGTTAACAATACTTTCAGAGATGGCAACTTTTATCCTACCATTATTATATCTGTATCTTGTTGTTTCCTTTTCAGCATCCATTGCGTTGCTTTCCAGATTCATCGGATGATTCTTCGGACTCTTCTTCCTCTGATTCTGATGAATCGAGCAGTGAAGAAAGCGTGAAGCACAAAAAGTATGTCATTATATACTGCACACATGTATCTGAATCATGCATACATAGAACTATCATTCAGAGTTGTAAAACGAAAGCCTGAGAAGAAATCTCCTGAACGGAAGGGACATGATCGTCATGATAGAAGGGATCGCAAAGATGATAGTCGGAGCAGTCACAGGAGGTGCAGCATTTCGAAAATTTCTAGAATTCATTCTTTACGTGATTTTTTTTAGGAAAGAAGAGGATAGACATAGAGAAGTAGAGAAGAGACGCAGAAGTAAAAGTCGCTCTCCTGCTGCTTCCAGTAGAAGAAGAGACAAAGAGGATAAGCGTGATAGCGGCAGAAGACGAAGTTCGGATGATCGCAATGCGAAACGTTCGAGAAGGGAGCGAAGGTTAGATCTATTAGATTTTGCTAACTTGCAAATCTATACAATCAAATCTACAATCAAATACTGAATATTAGAAATGTGCCAAAGGTTCTAGCTTAGCGTATAGTAAGTTGCGGTCGAAATATCAAAAAAAAGTTCTTCAACTTTCTATACTTGTCTTTGTCATGGGACCGAGACTGTAATGATCTGAACTCAGATCACCTCATAAAAAGTTTTTGCTTAGTCGTATTGGCATTCCTCTTTGAGAAGCACGTCAAACTAGTCAGTATACGTGTTTTTCTGTGTGCTGTGCTGCTTCTCCTTGATGGTGAGATTCTAAATCGATGCATCATTTTCTTTGGTCATTAACAAGACTTATGACTGGCCGTTTTGCACCGTAAATTCATCACCACGTGGTCTTGTCTCTTGAAATTTACACACTTTGGGTTTATCATTTTGATCATTTTGGTAAACATCGACCCAATACGCAAACAAAGCTTCTGAATTCTAACATACGCTGGTTGTCCGCGCTGAAAAATTGTTCTTTCTTCATAAGGTTTCTTGCCGTTTTTTTTTTGAATTTAGTGTTTTGCATAGATTTATCTGTGCTTTTTTATCAAAGTTTGTTGGATAACTCCTTCCTCTTATACGAGCTTAAAAAAATTTCATCGCAAATAAAATTGTCAAAAGGGGAACATTTTCCATCGATACGGCTCAGCATGTAGTTTCTCCCTTGAACCATGTTTTTTGTTTGTAATAAGTTGCCTGCCTTGTACCTTTTTTTCATCAAAAGAAAATGTCATGCGGCAAAGCGATGACCTCATTTTTTTCATAATTAAAAAGGATATCCCTCCCCCACCACAATTATTGCTCCCATTTCTGAAATCTCTCACTTCGTATTTACTTTGAAAAAACAGATTTCGAAAATTCCTTTTGTCAAACGTAAGACATAATGCAAAATCATTTCAGCCCTGAGAGGTCACCCGTTCGTGAAATCAAGCGGGAACCTCCATCACCGCAAAGTGAAGAGGACGCGTCGCCCAAACATTCGCATCCATCAGGATCTCGCGATAAACATGATTCCAGAGACGAGTACTCAGACGCATCCGATACGGATTCGCATGACTCGCTAAGATACAAAATGAAGAGTACTGTAAGTATCGTACAGAAGTAAATCATTAGATCTGTATCTAAGTTTGATGCTTGAGAAATTTGAAGTTTGTATTTTTTCATTTATATGCTTGCTGGTTTTATAATTTTGGTTTTCATTAGTTTGTGTTTGGCTATACACAGTTTCTTGAAGTCAGTTCTAGAACCTCCGAACCGAAAATATCATTAAAGCTATGGCTTGTTTGAAAAGACCGTCGGAAAAA